CTACATCAAGAGATTTTGTTTTTATTGTGGAACTAATAACGATACTTTTCGTGGCTTTCAAAACTGCATTCATCCTAGCTACATTCATATAGTTTTAATTATGCATTATATATACACTCAACTGTTCCTCTTGTTTAGGGAATCGATGAAATATAAAAGTAGGGGGAGTTTCTTTGGATGTCCCGCACAGGAGCACGGGTGGGGCCAAAGTGAGGCACACCGAAGGGGACGTATTCGGTAAACAAAGAGACCATACCAACGCCATCCGCCTCAGAGGCCCGAAACTAACGCGCACACCAAAAGCTCGAGTTTTCCTGTCCTTTATATATAATCTTTGGCTTCGACTCATTCATTCGTGGTTTGGTGTTGGGTTAACCACCTGAGAACAGCCAGCCAGATTGTGGACAGTGTGGTTGCCGGCTGTGGGTCTCACCTCCTTCTCCATAGTGATGAGTACATTGTTATTTGTATTGTGTGAACTGTCTTCACTTAGGTTATAAGTGTTCCTGCTCCGGTTAGGCTAAGTACTGTATATTGTAATTGATTTAATTGTAGGTTTAATAGTTTTGCTTTGTCAAAGGCTAAATTCTCGAACTGAGCAAACTCCCTCTTTAGTTATTCTTTTATTATTGTTTCTTGTATGCATTGTAAATAGTTTAATTATATTGTTATTTTACGTGTTGGTTTTGCTTCACCGATATTTGAGATTAACCAGTCTTTGAAAACGTTACATGGTAAACAGTTGTATTAGTCGAGAACACAACACGAGTAAGAGTTAACATAACATCACACCAGAAGTAAAGAAAATAGTAATAAAATAACCATCACTACATAGATCAGTTTTAAGTTTCTGCCATACACATTCTCTGATATAACTTCACAAATATCAAACCTGAAACTCGAAATGGTCACATGTTGTCTATATTAGGTTGTAAGTTGTTGTGTGTGTTGTAGGTGGCCCAGTTATTGTGTGTGTTGTAGGTGGCCCAGTTATTGTGTGTGTGTTGTACGTGGCCCAGTTATTGTGTGTGTGTTGTAAGTGGCCCAGTTATTGTGTGTGTGTTGTAGGTGGCCCAGTTATTGTGTGTTTGTTGTAGGTGGCCCAGTTATTGTGTGTGTTGTAGGTGGCCCAGTTATTGTGTGTGTTGTAGGTGGCCCAGTTGTTGCTGAGTGTTGTAAGGGGGCCCAGTTGTTGCGTGTTGATGGCCAAGTTGTTGAGTGTATTGCAGGTGGCCTAGCTGTTGTTGGTGTGTGTATGTGTGTGTGTGTGTCGTAGGTGGTCCAGTTGTAATAATAATAATAATTAACGTTTATTAAAAGAACATGGCAGCCAAAAGAGTGAAAATATACAATAAACAGAGATGATAAAATTTACACATGGTGATATTGGGAAGTGGGTCACTTGATCGAGAAAAACTTTCAGTACAAAAAGGTAAGAAACGTGGAGTGAACATATAGTTTAAATACAGATCAGGGAGTGGGAGAGCCAGTCCATAAACTGCCTTGTGACTGATAGTGGCGCCAACCATGGTTCGGTTCGTACGTAGGAGCCAAGGACTAGTCCTGACCACTCCCTTACTTCTCTCGCCCATCACGTATTCCTGGCAGGTCCTTCGGCTCATACGGGGTGATGGAGAAAAATCTTGTTCCGCATTTGATGTTGTCGGGAATTCCCATTTATCACCTGGGGGAGGAAGGGAGTCCTCAGTTGTTGGTTGGTGGAGTTGGGAGTAGAGTGCTCTGCTATCCTTTACTAATGACATCTTAAACTCCTTTGATGACACTTAGTTCACAGTCGGTATATTCTTGGACCTCTCTAACGCCTTTGATACTGTCGACCATACCATCCTCGTGTCAAAGTTTGAATATTACAGCGTTAGGGGCCTGTCCCACAATTGGTTTACCTCATATCTGTCTAATAGGAAGCAGTATGTCTGCTATAATTGTTCAATGTTCTGGGTAATAAGTTCAATATACAGGAGCGAACACAAACACCTGTATAGATTTTGTAGGTTCGATTTACTGGATAAGAGATATGTACACAGAGGGAGTAGTGCTCTCCGACCTGTCTGCTTGTCAACTGCTCTATAGACGACGTATGGCAAGTGATACATTAGCAGCTTCCATACGTCGCCAGGCACATTAATTAAGCATGTGGGACATGGTAATAACATTGCCACACGCTGCTAGCTAGGCTGAATAAATAATATATATAAATGGAGCACATACATCATATACATACATAATATATAATACAGCATACATAATACAGAATATACATACAATAATAATTAATCATCATCTGACTCCTCACCAATTTTGTATGGCGTCCCTCAAAGTTCTATTCTCGGTCCTGTACTGTTTTTGTTGTACAGTAGCTAAAACAATTATCTGTGCATACTTTGTGGGAAACAATATGAGACCATGGACGAATAATTTTGGTATATGAGGGTTGTTACGAACCACGCCACCAATTGTCATGATCTACCTACCCAGCACTACGAACCACGCCATCTATTGTCCTGATCTACCTACCCAGCACCACGAGCAACGCCATCTAGGGACGAAACCCGAGTATGACTAGTCTTAGTTACCACTCCTGGGTTTCCCTTCTCCATATCCTGGTTGTTGCGTCACCTCAAAGTCTTCCTCATCAGCTCCAGATCGAGGAAAGTTCAGTTCACTCTGGGAAGTGACCACAGGATCACCTATCCTGGAAACCTACGGCACAGTGACTACCTACCGTCTTCTACAATACTCAGCCTTGCTCGTCAGCCATCTCAGCTCCGCACTTAAGTATTTGTAATCTTATATTGCCTCTCCACCTCCACCTTGCTTCAAATTATTGTATGTTGTATAAATATGTATATACTGTCAATGTTTAGGTTAAGTTTGGTTAAGGGTAAATTATAGAAAGCTGAATGTTTTGTTAAGGATTTTATGGTACTTTATTATACACAACATAAACTCGCATCCTTTGTTTACCCTTTTATAGTCCGATTGTCTTTGTTTTTTTATTGTTGTTGCCTGTTGGGATCTGGGTAGACTTTTAACTATATTCTAAATCCCCAACTCGTAACAGGGTTGTCACTAGTCACACGTAAAATTTCGGAGCATTTCGATCCCCACCTGCACAGATAGTTGTTTTAGCTACTGTGCATAAACAATATAGTCCACACCAGCACACTCATAAAATCCAACTTATTTGCAGACGATAATAATCTCTATGCCAGCAACCCAGATCTCCATTCCCTGATGAGAACTATGAACACTGAATTGACTAAATTCAGGACCTGGGTAATAAATAATAAACTGACCTTAAACCTTTAAAAAACCCAATACACGATCTTTCACAGAAGGAAAAACTTACCCCCAGATTTGGACCCCCTGTACCTTGGCAATATAGTCCTCAAACGCGAACAGAATAATAAATTCCTTGGAGTTATTGTTGATGAGAAACTTAACTGGAGAAACCACATACAAGCCATTCACAGTAAAGTCAATAAACAGTGCGGTATCATGTATCACACTCGACAGTCACTTACTCTCACAGCAATGAAAGAAATTTATTATGATCTTGTTTACCAACACCTGATACACTGTCACACACTATGGGTGGCCTCTGGCTCTTCAAAAACACAATCCCTGGTTACTGCACAAACGAACAATTTGCTTAAATGAAAATGTTAAAATTCGAGGATATTAACACCTACTGCTGTGCCCTGTTTGTTTACAAATCTGTCAAGCACTTGCTTGACAACAATTATTTATAGTTCCGAATAATCAGAGATGCAACTTAAGGCACCCAGGACTACTTAAACCACATCCCATGCCATCCTCTCAGTCCCAGACCTCCATAAAATATCACGGTGTGAAGGTGTGGAACAACTTACCCCCACTCATCCAAGCAAAGGCTACGCTCCCTTCCTTTAAATCATCTCTTAAAAAATATCTATTGAGTAGGTATGTATTAATATTTTCGTAATACCTACTTTATATACCTGACTTTATTGTACCCCCAAAACCGTTTTATCATAAATTATCTTGTAGATAGATAAGAAATTAACATTGCAAAGAATATGTTTGCCAACTCGACATAATCCTGACAGCTCAGTCCTCTTGTTCCACCTTAATGCAACCCATGTTGTACTGCTTCCCTCCCTTACCATATTTATGTTTTTCAATTTCCACTGTAAATTATGTATATACAGTACTTTTAATATAAATGTAACAAAAATAAAATAAATTAATAAAATAAATAAATATCGAAGTGATAACCGTGGTAACATTCTGATATGTTCTTATTACCACCATGCTATTGTACTATTCCAGATGTTACTAAATGTTACATAATACTTCCTTGAGATAAATGTATAGTATATATCAGGTGCCTAAAAGAGAGCTCAGGCCCTCAACTGGCTCAGTCATGTTAATATTATGATCCTTAATCGACTCTGTATCTGTGCTCTTCTGGCTAAATACACTGTTTTAATATCAATTAATATCAATATCCTGATGTGGCTGAGTCATCAATTGACATCTGGTGGTGATGGGTAGGCTGTGGTGGCGGATATGGATCGTGACCACTGACGCTGGGCATTAATTTATCACTGCCTTACACTTGTTTTCATTCTTTTTTAGTAGAAATTGTCACTTTTATATATCAGTTGTGAGTTGATCGTCAATCTTTGCACTATTGTTGGTGGGAGGATGTTGATAAATCCTGGTGGGGAGGAGTTGGGGAAGGCGTGGGGACAGACAGACCGGGCTGACAGCTGCATTCATGGTAAAAAATTACCACACCACATGAGCGGAGCAGCGCCTAATGTGTCGTCACTCCATTGGAGCTGAAGATGCTGTGTGTGTGTGTGTGTGTGTGTGTGTGTGTGTGTGTGTGTGTGTGTGTGTGTGTGTGTGTGCGCCTGGCGACACAGCTGAAGGGTCCTGTAGCAGTGTTGTGTGTATCACAGAAAACTGACGGTGTAGTGGTTCTCTTGCAGGGGGGACTAATGCTGGTGTTGGTGACCACTATAGCCATCAACGTCTCCTTCATCGTAGACAAGACGAGGCAACTGAGGACTGCCCCCACCTCCACAGGTTAGTATTTACCCCATTACCATCGCCACCACCTCCACCAACAACACCACGAACACCATTATCATCAGCACATCACTAGTCCAGACTCCCCCTGGTGACTCTGGCCTGCCCCCTCCACCTGTCCACAACCTTCTCGTCCCAGACACTTCCTCCTAAATCCTACACCATTTGGGTCTTCAGTGATGTTGATTGGAATGGAGTCCATGACTTCAATTCCCTGAAATCTCACGAGGGAACCATCCAGCTGAGCCAGATAGATAACTGAAATTGGTTCTTGAGAGTGAATTACTTGTTCTAATTCCGCCTCCCACTGAAGACGACTTGCATTGGGACGGAGGTAAGAGTTGTCGTGTTAGAATGTCATATAATGTGAGCCTGGCATCTACCAGTTCACAGTTCCAGGATGACAGTGTCACTTATCCTGTTAATCCCACTGTTGCAGGGAGTGAGGGTGACGTGGGCGGCGCGGGCGTGGGTCGGAGGAACAACCTGCGGCTCCAGGAGTCACCGCCAAAGACCCTCACCGTCGACGTCGTGTCCAGCCAGAACCGTGTGGCTGTGACTGTTGACGGTGCAACGGTGAGTTTCTGTTGTTACCTGGCCAGGTGTGTTACGGTGAGTGTCAGTTACCTGGCCAGGTGTGCCACGGTGAGTGTCTGTTGTTACCTGGCCAGGTGTGCAACGGTGAGTTTCTGTTGTTACCTGGCCAGGTGTGTTACGGTGAGTGTCAGTTACCTGGCCAGGTGTGTTACGGTGAGTGTCAGTTACCTGGCCAGGTGTGCAACGGTGAGTGTCTGTTGTTACCTGGCCAGGTGTGCCACGGTGAGTTTCTGTTGTTACCTGGCCAGGTGTTACGGTGAGTGTCTGTTGTTACCTGGCCAGGTGTGTTACGGTGAGTGTCAGTTACCTGGCCAGGTGTGTTACGGTGAGTGTCTGTTGTTACCTGGCCAGGTGTGCTCTGATGAGTTTCTGTTGTTACCTGGCAGGTGTTCTGATGGTGTCTGTTACCTGGCCGGTGTGTTACGGTGAGTGTCAGTTACTGGCCAGGTGTCTTCTGATGAGTTTCTGTTGTTACCTGGCCAGGTGTTACGGTGAGAGTGTCTGTTGTTACCTGGCCAGGTGTATTTACGGTGAGTGTGATTACCTGGCCAGGTGTGTTCCCTGATGAGTTTCTGTTGTTACTGGCCGGGTGTTACGGTGAGTGTCTGTTACCTGGCCAGGTGTTACGGTGGTGTCTGTTGTTACCTGGCCAGGTGTGCAGTGAGTGTCGGTTACCTGGCCGGGTGTGTTACGGTGAGTTTCTGTTGTTACCTGGCGGGTGTTACGGTGAGTGTCTGTTGCCTGGCCGGGTGTGCCTGATGAGTTTCTGTTGTTACCTGGCCAGGTGTTACGGTGAGTGTCTGTTGTTACCTGGCCGGGTGTGTTCCCCAGTGAGTGTCCAGTTACCTGGCCAGGTGTGCAACGGTGAGTTTCTGTTGTTACCTGGCCAGGTGTTACGGTGAGTGTCAGTTACATGGCCAGGTGTGTTACGGTGAGTGTCAGTTACATGGCCAGGTGTGTTACGGTGAGTGTCTGTTACCTGGCCAGGTAACAGTGAGAGAGTGTCAGTTACCTGGCCAGGTGTGTTACGGTGAGTGTCTGTTGTTACCTGGCCAGGTGTGTCACAGTGAGTGTGTGTTGTTACCTGGCCAGGTGTGTTACGGTGAGTGTCTGTTGTTACCTGGCCAGATGTGTTACGGTGAGTGCCTGTTATTACCTGGCCAGGTGTGTTACGGTGAGTGCCTGTTGTTACCTGGCCAGGTGTGTTACGGTGAGTGCCTGTTATTACCTGGCCAGGTGTGTTACGGTGAGTGCCTGTTGTTACCTGGCCAGGTGTGTTACGGTGAGTGCCTGTTGTTACCTGGCCAGGTGTGTTACGGTGAGTGCCTGTTATTACCTGGCCAGGAGCGTATTTATTGAGTGCCTGTTGTACACCTGTGGCAGGTGTGTTACGGTGAGTGCCTGTTGTTGCCTGTGGCCAGGTGTGTTGCAGTGAGTGCCTGTTATTACCTGGCCAGGTATTATTTTGTTGAGTGCCTGTTGTGCACCTGGCCAGATGTGTTGATGAGTGTCTGTTGTTTACTGGCAGGTGTGTTGCAGTGAGTGCCTGTTATTGCCTGTGGTGTGTTCTGACCAGTGCCTGTTATTACCTGGCCAGGTGTGTTACGGTGAGTGCCTGTTGTTACCTGGCCAGGTGTGTTATGGTGGGTGCCTGTTGTTACCTGGCCAGGTGTGTTATGGTGGGTGCCTGTTATTACCTGGCCAGGTGTGTTATGGTGGGTGCCTGTTGTTACCTGGCCAGGTGTGTTACGGTGAGTGCCTGTTATTACCTGGCCAGGTGTGTTATGGTGGGTGCCTGTTGTTACCTGGCCAGGTGTGTTATGGTGAGTGCCTGTTATTACCTGGCCAGGTGTGTTACGGTGAGTGCCTGTTGTTACCTGGCCAGGTGTGTTATGGTGGGTGCCTGTTGTTACCTGGCCAGGTGTGTTACGGTGAGTGCCTGTTGTTACCTGGCCAGGTGTGTTATGGTGAGTGCCTGTTGTTACCTGGCCAGGTGTGTTACGGTGAGTGCCTGTTATTACCTGGCCAGGTGTGTTACGGTGAGTGCCTGTTGTTACCTGGCCAGGTGTGTTGCAGTAATTACACCATTGTACCTGGCCCAGGTGTGTTACGGTGAGTGCCTGTATTACCTGGCCATGTATGACACGGTAAAGTGCCTGTTGTTACCTGGCCAGGTGTGTTACAGTGAGTACCTGTTTATTTACCCTGGCCAGAATGTATCCCTGACAGAGTGTTTTCCCTGGCAAGATAATATTTACAGTAGAGTGTCTGTTACATTGGCCAGGTGTGTGGTGTGGGTATTTGATACCTGACCAGGTGTGTTACAGTGGTGTGTACCTGGCTGCAGGTGTGTTGCAAATGATGTCTGTTCTGGCAGGTGTGTTATGGTGAGTGTTGTTGCCTGGCCAGGTGTATTATGGTGAGTGCCTGTTGTTACCTGGCCAGGTGTGTCACAGTGGTGAGTGTCTGTGCCTGGCCAGGTGTGTTGATGACTGTGTATTTACCTGGCCAGGTTTGTTACTGTGGTACTGTAACCTATTGGGTGTGTTATGAGCAGAGTGTGTTACTAGCTGGCCTTAGAGTGTGTTACGGTGAGTGTATGTTGTTTACCTATTGGTCCAGGTGTTTGTCACGAGTTGAAATGTTCTGTTACACCTGGCCGGAAGTGTGTTACTGTAGTGTGTTGTTATCTGGCCGTGTGTTTACTGTGTGTGTTCTGTTGTTACCTGGCCAGGTGTGTTATGGTTAGTGCCTGTTGTTACCTGACCAGGTGTGTTATGGTGTGTGTTGTTACCTGACCAGGTCTGAGGTGGGTGCCTGTTGTTACCTGACCAGGTGTGTTGTGGTGGTTGTATGTTGTTACCTGGCCAGGTTTGTTACTGTGAGTGTGTTGTTACCTGGCTAGGTGGATTACAGTGAGTGTGTTGTTACTTGGCCAGTTGTGTTACGGTGTGTGTGTTGTTACCTAGCCAGGTGTGTTATGGTGAGTTGTTGTTACCTGTCCAGGTGTGTTATGGTTAGTGCCTGTTGTTACCTGGCCAGGTGTGTTACTTTAGTGCCTGTTACCTGGCCAGGTGTGTTACGGTGAGTGCCTGTTACCTGGCCAAGTGTGTTATGGTGAGTGTCTGTTGCTACCTGGCCAGGTGTGTTACGGTAAGTGCCTGTTACCTGGCCAGGTGTGTTATGGTTAGTGCCTGTTGTTATCTGGTCAAGTGTGTTACGGTGAGTGCCTGTTAATACCTGGCCAAGTGTGTTACGGTGAGTGCCTGTTGTTACCTGGCCAGGTGTGTGACCTTACATTGACCTGTATGAATTTTTGTAATCATGACCTCATGTGACCTAATGTAACCCCTCTACCCTTTAAACCCTCGTTACTTTGTATGACCTCTCGTGACCTTGGTGTGTGTGTGTGGTACAGATCGTAGAGGAGGGGGAGGAGAAGAAGGGTCGAGGGATACACGTGGTGGTGCTACACCAGGCGAGCGGCGCCGTCATGGCTCAGCGGGTGTTCGACACTTACTCCCCCCACGAGGACGAGGCCATGACGCTCTTCCTCAACATGGTGTCCCCCGGCAGGATCCTCGTCCTCGCTATCAAGGTCAGTAACACTCACCTCATTCTTGGAGGTCATCACTTATCCCAGGTCATACTCCAAGATTTTTTAGATTTTTTTTTTTTAGATTGCCCACGAGGGGACTATGTGCAAGGTGAAGCGCAGAAGCGTTTACAGCGCCCATCGGGAAAGCATGCGGAGTTCATGCTTGCCTTTATGACTCATGCATTAAGGGCGTAAAAGCCTGAAGGGTCATGGGTTTTGTCAGCAAGTTCATAAAGTGACAGAATGATGAGTGGGTGGGGGGAAAGTTCCCGGTACAATTTATCTGTTTATGGCAAAGTGTGGCAGGTCCCTAATAATGTCAGGTGCCTGTCACTAGGAGGAGGGATATCTGGTCAGGGAGGGAAGAGGTGTTGGTAACGGCTGGGGACCTGTTGGAGGAGGTCATAGGGCAAGTGAGGATGTAGTGAGAGAGGGTGTGAGAGTCGGGTTGGCCACAAAGTTTACAAACAGTGCGGCCAGGCTCAGGGTTGCCAATGTACTAGGCGTGGCGAAGTACAGTGGGGGTGGAGGTGATATGGTGTGGTGGAACAGGTACAGTAGGGGTGGAGGGAGGCACATAGGCATTGACAATATGTAGGGACACACCTTTTAGTGTGATTGTGATGGTGTGTGCGTCGACATGCCGGTGGGGTATAGGTAGCCGGGGGTGGTGTCCTTAGGTCCAACAGGTAGCCCTGGTGGAGACAGCACAGACACAGGAGCGGGCGCGGCTTGCGGTGGGTGGAGGACAGGTTGAGGCACCACGTGTCGTGAAGATGAGGCAGGACTTCGCTCGGGGGCAGCAGGACACACCCGGGCAGGCCCGGTAGGTGCTACACCAGTAGTGAAGGCCGCCGGCGGTGAAGTAGGCCGTGAGCAGGGGGTCTCACAGGGGGACTACCAGCTTGTGTCAAACCAGAAGAGAGGAGTGACTGGGTGGCAACAGAGGGCAGGAGTAGGTGGGAGATGGTGGTACAGAGTGTAGCGAAGAGTTGTTCAATACGGTTGGTAAATTGTTGGAAGAGGGATATGATCTGCGTCACGTCACTGGAGGGTTGTGAGGGGGCACCGGTGGGAGCACAAGGCCTGACAGCGTCAGAGTACAGACGGGGAGGAGGCCCTGGCTGTGTGAGGCCAGGCAGAGGCAGGTGTTGTTGAAGAAGGCGTTGCTGGAGACAGAGGGGACACAGAGGGGTGTGGCCCGGAAGACTGTTTTACTTCAGGTCATCCTTCAGGGTCATTGTAACAATGCCATGGGTAACTCTTTCCCGCCAAGCATGAGCCAATCACAGTGGCCTGTGGGTGTGACGTCATGGGCCTAACTGTGCTGATTGGCTGGAGGCTTAGTGTAATTGTCAAACCCTAATAGAGAGTATTTTATAAATGCGGTAACCGTTAATAAGAGTCCTAATTCATCCCTCCCTTATTGAGAAAGGTTGATTTGTTATAAGTGCCTCGGTGGTATGCAGTGATACAGTAAGTCCGAAGTAATAATATAACTATTTAATTGTTCCCCTAGTGTCTCAGGTTACCCCTATTCCCCAGTTATCCTCATCAACTTCCCGTCTCTCTCTCCGTCTCCCCTCTCCCCGTTGGTGTGAGGGCGGCCTGACCACAAACCGGCCCTTACCTCCTGCCTCCTTTGCTTCTCCTTCCTCTCTCTCTCTCTCACTCCCGCCTCACCACCCCTTCATATCACGAGTATAAAGAACAGAGAAAAATTAAGTATTAGAAAAGATAATTAGAGAATACAGAAAGCGTAAAAGTAAGTAAATAAATGAAAATAAGAATACAAGGTAAAATATAACCTATTATTATTACACCATCCTCCAGAACCACTCTCATTTCAGTGATGTAACTGATGCTTCAAGTCATCCTTCAATGTTATACTCCAGGTCCACTCTTACCTCAGGTCACCCTTCAGGCCCATCTTTCATCTCAGGTCACCCTTCAGGTTCATCTTTCATCTCAGGTCACCCTTCAGGTCAAACTTTCATCTCAGGTCACCCTTCAGGTCCACTCTTACCTCAGGTCATCCTTCAGGCCCATCTTTCATCTTAGGTCACTCTTCAGGTCAACTCTTGCCTCAGGTCATCCTTCAAGTCCACTCTTACCTCAGGTCATTCTTCAGGTCCATCTTTCATCTCAGGTCACCCTTCAGGTCCTCTTACCTCAGGTCATCCTTCAGGCCCATCTTTCATCTCAGGTCACCCTTCAGGTCCATCTTTCATCTCAGGTCACCCTTCAGGTCCTCTTACCTCAGGTCAATCTTCAGGTCCATCTTTCATCTCAGGTCACCCTTCAGGTCAAACTTTCATCTCAGGTCACCCTTCAGGTCCACTCTTACCTCAGGTCATCCTTCAGGCCCATCTTTCATCTCAGGTCACCCTTCAGGTCCATCTTTCATCTCAGGTCACCCTTCAGGTCAAACTTTCATCTCAGGTCACCCTTCAGGTCCACTCTTTCCTCAGGTCATCCTTCAGGTCCACTCTTACCTCAGGTCATTCTTCAGGTCCATCTTTCATCTCAGGTCACCCTTTAGGTCCACTCTTGCCTGAGGTCATCCTTCAGGTCCACTCTTGCCTCAGGTCACCCTTTAGGTCCACTCTTACCCCAGGTCATCCTTCACGTCCCAGGTCAAACTTTCATCTCAGGTTAACTCCAGCTCTTCTTACCCCAGGTCATGCAGGTCGTGGAGGAATGGCTGCAATACAGGTGAAGTTACAGGCTGTTAATAGGAAGGTTGCCGTGCAGGCTATAGCTGAAGGTCAGGGAGCAGGATGCAGCTACAGGTCTTTGCTTACTAATCGATTTCTGTGGTGATAGGAAAGTTAAATACGGGTTACAATATATGATATCCGTTTATGTTGTCGTACAGCCTGTGATGAAGGGAAGGGGGTAGGATGAGAGGCAGGCAGAAAGGTAGGTCAAGCAGGCCGAAAGGCAGGTCAGGCAGGCCGGACATGCAGGCAGGAAGATCAGACAGGCAATAATACAGACAGAAAAGTAGGTCAGACAGACAGAAGGGCAGAAAGGTACTTGGGTCAGCTACGCAGAAAGAAAGGCAGATCAGGCAGTCAGAAAGCAGGTCAGGCAGGTAGAAAGGCAGGTCAAGCAGGCAGAAAGGCAGGTCAGGTAGAACGGCTGATCAGTCAAGTATAAAGGCAGATCAAGCAGGCAAAAAAGCAGGTCAGGCAGGTAGAAAGGCAGGCCAAGCAGATAGAAAGTCAGGTCAAGCAGGCAGAAAGGCAGGTCAAGCAGAAAGGCAGATCAGGCAAGTATAAAGGCAGATCAGGTAGGTCAGGAAGGCAGGTAGGGCAGGCAGGGAAGGACAAGGACACTACAGGATGATGTTAGTGCAGGCAATCACCTCCTAGTTACTGGAGGCAGGAAATTAACTCCGGGTTATATTGGTGACTTTGGTTCAGGCGTGGTTTATTTTCTCTCTCTCTCTCTCTCTCTCTCTCTCTCTCTCTCTCTCACACACACACACACACACACACACACCTTCACTCTTTCTTTCTCAGCAAACGAATCGAGTCATCAGAGTCATTTCGACTTGTTTCCGTTCGCACAGAAAGAGCAAGAAGAGTCACGTTTGTCAGTATCCTGTCAGATGTGAAGCAGTATGGACACACATCCTCTCGCAGCCTTGCATATTCTGTTGTGGATTCGGCGGCGTAGGAGAAAGAGGAACCTAGTATGGGTGCGTGGACTCAACACCAAAAGACCAGATTTTGGTGTTTTTAGTCATTTGTTTCCGAACTTAATGAATCACCCAGACATATTCTACAGTTTCTTCAGAAAGGCATTGGTAAACTACAAGAAGCTGGTTAATATGACAGGAATATCTATAGAGAAAATGGACACAAAGTACAGACGTGCAATTGGTTAATATAAAGTGAGCACATGTGAATTATTTCACTATTATTTACAAAAAAATATCATAGGCTATTGTATGTAACTACCGGAATAGCCTCTTACCTGTAGAATTATATTCAGTAGCTTATGTCATTATTTGTTACTGATAAGGATATCGACGTCTGATTTTGTTTGATTTTGTGTATGGTAATGTATGATTAGTAAAGAGAACAAACGCACATGAATTATTTGGCTATTGTTTACTGATGACATCCTAGGCTATTTTTTCAATATATAATCTTACCTGTTGAATTCAGTTCAGTAGTAACCTCTTTCCACAGAGCTGAGATCACGTCACGATCTCGGTGTCTTTTATCATAGAGAGCAGGACGCTCCCGAACAAGATTTATCAAATCCTCCAGCTGCCTGACGAGGTTTCCACCACAACAGACTCACGATGACTGACGAAAAAGTGGATCTAGCCATATTCATGAATCGACTCGACTCGACTCCCTTGGTGTGAACGGTTTTTGCAAAATTACAAACAAAATAATGCCCCCTTGAATGGCGAGTCACGTAGAGTCAAGACTCGGTGTGACTCAACACGACTCGACTCGACTCGTTTGATGTGAATGCAGTGAAAACTAGAGTCAGTTAGAGTAGAGTTAGTTAGAGTCAGCTAGGGTCAGTAAGAGCTATTCAGAGTCATTCAGTATCAGCTAGATTCAGGAAGAGTCAATCAGTGAAAGTTAGATAAAAAAAAGAGTCAGCCAGAATCAGTAAGATTTGGAGAGAAAAGGTGATTCGTTTAGAGTCGGTTCATTAAGTTAACGAGGATCAAAACATGTCAAGAATCAGGAAAAGTCATTAAAGAATCACAAAGAGTCGGTGAGAGTCAGATAGAGTCAGTGAGAGTCATTATGAATCAGCGGAGGAAGGGAGGGGAGGGAGACACTTATATGGCCTACTAGCAGAATCGCCGCCCTCCGGGCGGCTCATCCGCTAGGCAACGATGTTATTTACTTTTACGATGTTATTTACTTAGACTTTAGCAAAGCATTTGACAGAGTACCGCATCAGAGGCTTCTGAGAAAAATTAAGGCTCATGGTATCGAGGGGAAAGTTTTAAATTGGATAAA